CGACTCCAATCCTCTATTGTCCAAGCCAAGTGTTCTCGTGCAAAATTTAATCTTGCGATTCTGTGTTCACGGGAAAGCGGTGGTCCAGTAGCCCTGGTTCGAGAAGATAATCCAGCAGCATGAAGTCGCCTCCTAACTGTCCACTCACTTATGTTTACATTTCTGACTTCTTGCAGATGATTTCGAAGGGAAACTGCCGTATCTGTTCGGTTTCTCAATGCACTAGAAACGATAAAGCGGTCGTCTCTAGCTGTTGTACTCCTTCCTCTTCCCGAACCAGGTCTTCGGGTAAGAAGACCAGTCTCTTGGTACCGTTGGCATATTCGTTGCACACTGGAAAGGCTTACATCAAAGTTTCTTGCAGTTTCGCGCTGACCGCGACCATCTTCTATAGCCGCCACAATTCGTGCCGCAATTACTGGATTTATGGCCATTTTGCTTGAAAATAGCATCAATAGTAACCAACCAATTTGCAATTGAGAGATACCATGCATGGAATACACAAATATGCTGATAATGGTTTTGAGGAATTTCGGCGAGGCACCTTTTTTTTTATCAGACTTTAAACAAAACAACAACAACTTTGTTTTATTCAAACAACCACGATAAAATCATCACATAGAGTAGTAAACTATGCTACACCCATAAAAAAATCAAAAACCTAAAATTTCAAAAATAATTGTGAATTATGGGGTGACCCTAATTTTATGCTCGGCAGTGTAGATCAATTTTTATCAAATAGAATAATTTTTTAATTAAATGAGTGGAGCAAATATTCGATGCTCCGCACCATGATTTACTTAAGCAAAAATGTAGATATAAGCTTTACAAACCTAATTAGGTGCTAGCTGACCTTTTACACATAACCTCAATGACATGTTTGTCCCCCTATCGAAAGTCACGTTATGTCATTGGTGACAAGCTAGCGCCTGTGTGTTAAATGGACCATTCAAACGCTTTGTTTGTCCCCCCAACGAAAGTGAGGTTATGTATGTGACGTCAGATAGTGCCTAATTGCATTTTTGAAAAGGAAAGCTACCGGGTATCAGCCAAAGAAATCGAAAATATTTACAAAGCTGGAAATAGAACGCTTTTTGAAACAAGCCGATGATAAAGAATTCTTGTTAGCCAAAGTTGTCTTGACTGTTGGAGTATTTGGAGCATGTAGGAGGGAAGAAATCACATTGTTGAAATTAGATGCAATTAAAGATTGTCAGTCGTTTATCAGTGTCAAAATTCCGAAGACAAAAACTCATGTTCCAAGAATGTTCACTATTACTGAGGGATCAATAGAAGGTATCAATTTTTTAGGCTACGGTTTTTTAGGACAATACGCGACGCATAACTGAAGACAGAATTTGTTTAACACGATATTGACACACTGCTGACGCTTTACGTTGCGCTCACCTACGCAAACCCAACAAACCGGTCTATATAATTTACACTCGGTTGATTTTAGCAGACGTACGTGGCGTTCGACAAAATGTGAGCTGTGCGTCGCGCACTGCCCTAACAAACGGTACCTTTAAGGTACGGTTTGTTAGGATAGTACGCGACGCAAAACTGACAACGTAAACGTCGTCATTGGTTCAGGTATGACGTACACCCGTTTTCTGACGCTGACGTCAGGGAACGGGTGTACGTCATACCTGAATCAATGACGACGTTTACGTTGTCAGTTGTGCGTCGCGTATTATCCTAACAAACCGTACCTTAAGATAATCACGACAAAAATGACCACATTGAAGGTACGGTTTGTTAGGATAGTACGCGACGCACAACTTAACATATAGTTAACATGTTAGGATAGTTAAGGATAGTTAACAACGCACACCCGTTTTCTCACGTCAGAAGACGTGTGTACGCCATACCTTAACCAATGATGACGTTTACGTTGTCAGTTGCAGTCAGTTGTGCGACGCGTACTCTCCTAACAAACCGTACCTTAAGCTCGCGGTCTACAATGCTATCGTCATACCAATACTTTTCTAAGGATGCTAAACCTGGACAACCTACAGACGGTACCTGAGGTGTTTAGAACCAGCACTGCTTAAGAAGAATACTCAGGACCGGTGAAACGAACAGTATCTTTGAGGATTCTATGCTTTGAGGAAACCAATTTCACTGTGATGCCAGTCTCTCCTTTTCCTAAACAAATGATGTATTCCCTTCCCAACTAGCCAACGCAGCAAAGGAGAGCAATTCAAACGATACAAAAATATCTTCAATGAGCAACTGGGACGCCCTATTTTCATTTGATTTGGAAAATCCTATTCTATCGATAGTGTGGAAGTTGACAGACTGGTTAATCAAAAGTGAAGGATAACCAGACACGTGCCTATTTCCTACAGATCTGACAATAGCTGGTTTACAACAGCGACCAGCTGGCAGCTAACCGCTGATTAGGTGCCTATGATGATGATGATGATTTTCAAGAAGGTACTACAATGAGGAAGTTGCATACAATTTTATTTTGATGCAGAAGGTATTTGAAGTGAAGCAAAATACTCTATAGTTCATTTTTTCCCAAGATAGATTTTATAGCATTGTCAACTTTGAAACATAAACAATGCCGCTAATGCCGCTTATTGGTCGCTATTGTAAAACTAATGTCAACCTGCAGAAACACCTCATTTTGCGACCAATCAGAGTCAAGCGTTATTGTTTATGTTTCAAAGTTATCAATGTCAAAATCTATCTTGGGAAAAAATAAAGTGTTGAAGTATATTTTCATATTCAAATCCTCTTTATACTGAAACACTATTGTTTTTCTATGTATTCATATTCATTAAGTATGTAACCATTGGGTACATTCAGGCGGTCCCAGCGGCTGAGCTCAGCCACTCAGTAGGGACTCTATTCTCGAAACTGAGGAACAGCGTTCTCATGAAAACGATTGCTCTGTCTTTGTCAGTGTTATGGAAATATGAATACGGACGACGAAGACAGAACCTTCGTTTTCATTAGAACGCTGCTCTCCTGTTTCGAAAATAAAGTCCCTGCTGAGTGGCTGAACTTAGCCGCTGGCATCGCCTGAATGTACCCATTTATTGCAATGACTCCAATGCAAAGTGAAATGACTATGAAACATTATTGCAATTTAATTGTCTTTGATTGAAATGAGAAATATTTGAATATGTTATTCTGGTCTAGTTTCATGATTTTTGAATGAAGGTTTAAATATTGAAAAGATTTTAAATAAAACGTGTAATGATGATAATTAATGATGATGTGTAATAATGAATCATGTAATTGTTTACGCAATAGTATTTGAAATTTAGTGTACTGGACTGCGGCTGGATAATCGCACAAACAAATAGAAATAGAAATGAAATTGATACCATAGGGTTGTCGAAACACACAAAAATTATTACCACTCACCTGGGTTTTCTTATAAGCTGTGCGTATATACGGGGATCCCCTGGAAAACGGTTCTCCACAACCACCACGTATCACCATCGACTTAAGGCACTTAAGAGTGCGCTTCTTCTTCGATGCTGAAAAAATAGGTATTTCGCGTTCGCGACTATGCTGTTTTCATAAAAACAGTTGCATCTAGGGAATTCCAACAAAAACTGTTTTCAAGAATGTACTTTTGTGCTTGCTTGACCAGTAATTTTTTTTTGATTTTTCTCATTTTTTGAAAAAAAAAATTCATAAAATGAGAAATATCAAAAACATTTTACTGGTCAAACACGCACATAAACATATTCTTGAAAAAGGTTATCGGTTAAAATTTCCTAAATGCAACTGTTTTTATTAAAATAAAAAAGGCGCACTCGCGATTTTCAGCATCGAGAAACGCACTCTTAAGGTCCCTTTTTAACGGCACAAGACATAGACTTTTTGAGTGTAAAACACGGAACCGATAAAAATGCAACGTGCATATCAAGTACCATTTATCTAGTGCAGCGGTTCCCAACCGGTGGGTCGCGACCCCCAAGGGGGTCGCATAAGGTTTTTGGAGGGGTCGCAATACCAATATTTATATATTATATTTTCTGCATTTGACAACACGCCTTGAGTCTCCGTCTCAAAAGCCGCGTACCGTTGCATTGGACCCACGGACGAAGCGCATATAATAGCACAGGTTGTGAGTCGCATGTTTTTGAACATAGGTAGCTATGCATAATGGCTGAAGCATCAGAAACAGAAATTGTGGAGCATCTAAATGAGAAAATTGATTATCACCTTCAATTCTTTGAGAATGAAATGGGCGTTATTTTGCCGACGTTCCTGATGAAGTGCAGGATAAATTTTCAAAGCTGAGGAATGACTCCACAGCACATGCCCTATATCTGGTCTGGAAAAATTCTTGACTGAATTTTGATGTGCCATGCATAGTTCATATCCTTATGTCGTCCTGCTTGTGTTTTCTTTTCGGATAGTAATACCATTTGCTTCTACCTACCTTCGTGAAAGTGGTTTTTCAACTATTGTAAATTAGAACAAAGGCCAGAAATAGACTGGGAGTTCAAGATGACATAAGATTGGCTTTAACAAAAACTCAACCAAGAATTTCAAAACTTGTTACGGAGATGCAAGCTCAGCCATCAGTTAACAAATTAAAACTGACTTTTGGTATCTAATTATGAAATATTAATATTCTTGTTAAAGATTTCTTGAATAAATGAAATTTTGTTTTTTATTTACCTTATGAGCAAATCTGTAAAAGGGTCGTGATTAAAAAAAGGTTGGGAACCACTGATCTAGTGTGTGTAAATCCAAATCTTCAACGGCTGTCTCGGTCGGCGCAGGGTCGTAGAAAATACACTCCTGTGTGTTTTACGCAAAATTGACATTTAAGTAATTCTTTAATAAAAATAAGAAGAAACCAAATTTATAAATAATGTTGCGGTAACAGTAATAGTCTGTCTAGTTAAATGATTTTAGATTGAAGATTTATATAGGTTTTTGGTCAATGGTTTTTGGCAACGAACGAATTATACAGGGGTCTTAAAATGTATAAATTAACTTACCAGTCAATTTGAATAGCTTACCCTGATTTTCTCGAAGCATTTTTTTCTTTTGTGCGATTCCATATTTCGTGATCTCCTTAGATTCTTCTAGTAATTTTTTGATTTTTTTACCGGCAGGAAAAATCGCGAGCCATAATTTGGGACTGATAAACGGTATGATGATCAATGAGTTAAGAAGATCTTGAATCCTGATAAATTTCATTAAATAGTAAATCGTTAAATAAAATGATAAGATTCTCACTCCAATATGATATCGCCCACTTTTTCCATTTCAAATGAAGATAGGTATTTGCTTATGCCTGTATTGCCCACTAAAACATAATTGTTACAATTGAAGAACTATTTGAGGGTTTTTGTAACCCAAATTTTTATTTACTTACAAAAAAAGCTTTGAACGGAGTACCTATCAAAATACCGGAAGATATCTTTAGGAGTTTCAACATATTTTAGATCTTCAATCATTCGGCAACTGTGATTATAGTAAACATAAACGTTATTCTTCAAAATGCTTGATTTGAAACCCATTCCAAAATGTTTACGTTGTTTCTTCCATATTTCCTCTGAAATAAAGGCCATTGTTCGTTGAGGTTTTAACATAAGTATTATAAACTTACCAGGCACTACAAAAATAGAATCATCGAAAATAAACTTCAACTTATCGTAGAATGGTGCTTTGTTGACGCATTTCGGATGGTTCACAAAGATTTTCACTTCTTTGGTGTCTTTGGTTATGTAGATGTACTTGTCGGCGTCCCATAAACTGAACGGAAAACCTTTGATTTTGTCGATCCATTGCATCAATGACATTATATTTACTAAAAAGAAATCGTTTGAACATTCAAATGAATTATAGTGTGCTCTTAAATAATTTTGCTGATAAGTTGTTTAAAAGAGGAATAGTATATTACATACCAAGTAGGAAAGTATTTCATTACTGTCGAGAGATTTATACAGGATGACAATTTGAAAAGTAGCAATCGGGAATATCTTTTAGACAAAAAAATACTATCAGGAAGATCTCCAATACGTTTCGGGGGATTGGAGGGGGAACCAAAATGGGGTACTTTTTGAGTCATCCCACCTCACCCTCCAGAGGGTAGCTACCCCAACTTATTTTTTTTCAAATACGAACCTACTTTGTGTTGCACATTGTTCGATAGCTCGTTGCTATCCCTTCATAGTCATATAGCTAAATCTTGAATCGGACGATTAGTTTTTGAGATATCGATGTTTAAAAGTTAGCATATTTTGAAAACTTCACCATTTCAACCTCAATTTCGGAAAAAGTAACTTTTATTTAGGAAAATGTAAACTCATTTTCGGAAAAAGACAAATCAATTTCAGAAAAAATAAAGTTAATTTCGGAAAAAGTAAATTCAAATTCGGAAAAAGTGAATTCAAATTCGGAAAAAATACATTCAATTACGGAGAGAGTAATGTTATTTTTGATAGAATAAGTTGAATTGATTGAGTCATTTATCTATTTAGAAAATCAAAAAAGTTGTCCATATTTCTCAAAGAGAACCGATTTTTGAACAATAAAAGAAAGAAAAAAAATACAGCAGGCGAACTCTCTAACTCGATAGAAATAGAAATAGAAAAATAATAGCAAAGAAAAAAAATTTCTTTCTATCGACAAATGCTACTCTCTATGACTTTCTCCTGGAATTTTCGAGTAAGTTCGTTTATAGAGAAATGCATACTAACCAATATGAAAACATTGTGAGAGATTTTAGATTTTTGTCATTTTCAATAATAAACCGGTGTTTTTGATAGTTAATTTTCGATTGTCAATGTTATTTTTTCCATTTATTAATTTTGTCTTTGCATATTGAGCTCTTTCGGATGTGTAGGTATACCCATTGTAACTATTACACCAGGCTGGATAAAGGTTCCCATGACCCAAGCAGAAAAGGAAGTAAAAAAAAGCCAAATTATTCGCAATGTAAATGCGAATTATGGGGGTGCCAGTCATGATTTTTTCATATGGAGGAATTCTCAATAATTTCGTCTATACGGTTTACTTCTCCACTGTTCTAGCTCCCATAGACCAATTCATAGTTGAATGATTTATAATTATTCCCATTTATGCTTAGTTTCACTGCTATTTCCGTCAACATCAAACAAATTTATGTCACTCTTTAATCCCAAATCAAAATAAAAAATCAAAAAAAAAATTAGACGAAGATAAGCTTACGTCAATTGTGACTGTGTAGAATGAAAAGGGAAAATAGCAAGACCGAAAGGGTTTTTCTATTTCTTTTGACACGAGCAGGTAATTCGGGGTAGCGATTTTAGCCGAGTGGGGTTAGGGAGTTCCGTTTCGTCGATTTTCTATCATAGAAAGGAAATTTCTTCTCTATGTTGTTACAGAGTACGGCAGTTGTTGGATTCTTTAAAATAATGAGAGTGGACTGTATTATTAATATATTTACATTTATTTACACACACGACTATTTACACTATTTACAATTTGCATTTTCTCGTTTTTGTTTACGTTTTTAGACTTATAGAGTCTGTAAAAATGGTCATATAGGACCTGGCCAGAATTATCTGGTGCGCTCGGTGAGGTTCGATTCGACACTGACTGTTCCCGTTGGTTCACTCGCGTAGATGCCGGAAGCCACTTTACCAAAAACTTTGACAAGTAATTTTTGACACTGTTTGACACATACGCGCACACTTCCGGTGCATACCGGGAAAATTAAAATTTGAATTTTAAATTTACTGTTGGAATATTGTTTCCAACATGCTCGCGGCCAAGAAAGATTCTTAAAATTATTACAAATACTACAACATTATAAACTTAAATTAAACGAGAGTAAAATATATGTGCATCGTTGCACAAAATAATTAAGCGATATAGCACTTATTAAATGGCTTATAGAGCCTCAAAAATTTGACCTATAGAGTCAAGTTATTACATATTTTATGAAACTAAGAAAGTTACATTATAGGTACATAGATTATGGGTAGCTTATAGAGCTTAAAGGCTTGACTTATAGAGCCAAGTTATTATTTTATATAACTTAATAAGTTATACATAAATTATTGATAGCTTATAGAGCTTAAAGGCTTGATTTATAGAATCAAGTTATTATTTTATATGACTTAGAAAGTTATACATAAATTATAGACAGCTTATAGAGCTTAAAGTTTTGACTTATAGAGTCAAATACTTCTAGATATTGCTAGAAATTATTCTACAAAAAATATTTAGTAATGGCGACTTGAAATTTGTATTTACAAAATGTACAAATATTATAAAAAGTATTAAGAACCTAAACTATCTGAGGCAACTTAAGATCTAGGTATCTACAAAAATGTACAATTTTATGGACAATAGTAAAAACCTTAAGTATCTAACTATATAAATATGTATAAATATGTATAAAATTGACGTTGAGTCACAAGTCACTCGATGGGTAAGACGGCAATTTTTATTACCGACCTTAAATAGTTACCTGTTCGTGTTCGAACTTCAACGACTCGAACTTTGCCATCTTTCCCAAGTATTGTTCTTGTGATTCTGGCAATCGGCCATTGAAGAGAGGGTACATTATCCTCCTTCAGCAAAACTAAAAGCCCTTCCCTTAGGTTAGGGACCGAGTATTGCCACTTAGGCCTACTCTGAAGCTGCGCTAAATAATCTTTGTGCCACCGCTTCCAGAAGTGTTGCTTCACCTGAGTAGCCATATTCCAAAATGACAACCTATTTTCCGGAATTTCAGTCAAATCTTTTTCAGGAAAGCTTGTTATAGCTGAACCGGTTAAAAAATGACCTGGCGTCAAGTATTCTAAATCGAAAGGATCGTTTGTTAATTGAGTTAGTGGCCTAGAATTTAAAATTCCTTCCACTTGGACTACTAGAGTGTTTAATTGCTCGTAGGTCAATCTGCGCTCTCCCATTGTTCTCTTAAGGTGGTGCTTGGCACTCTTGACTCCGGCTTCCCAGAGACCCCCAAATACTGGCGAGTAGCTAGGAATAAACCTAAAAACGATTCTTTCATTTGCAACAAAATGTATTATTTTATTTCTGCTTTCAGATTCGAAAACCCGGTTAAGTTCATCTAATTTGTTCTTTGCGCCTTTAAACGTTCCGCCATTGTCGCAAAAAACCTGTGAGGGTTTCCCTCTTCTAAATATAAATCTTTTGAAGGCCTCTAGGAAGTTATCGGTAGTCAACTCCGACAAGACTTCCATGTGTATTGCCTTAACTGAAAAGCATATAAAAAGCGCAATATAAGATTTAGTTATTATAGGTTTTCGAATTCTTGACTGTTTAGTATAAAAGGGTCCGCAAAAGTCAATACCAACATTTTGAAATACTCTTGCAGGGTTAACTCTATCGCGAGGTAACGAGCCCATAAGCTGTTGCGAACAACGAGCTTTACTTTTAAAACAAATCACGCATTTGTGTATATTTTTCTTGACTTCTCTGACACCATTTATTATCCAAAAATATTCATTAAGACTGCTCAAGACCTGTCTTTGTCCTGCGTGTAGAAGTCTTAAGTGCTCTCTTATGATTATGAGGTTTGTAATATGATTATTTTTGGGTAAAATTAATGGATGCTTTGTGCTATAGGATATTTGCGCATTATGAAGCCTTCCCCCTACACGCAAAATGCCTTCTGCATCCAAAAAGGGATTTAAGGAAGCTAGATGACTTTTTATTGGTGTTTTTGACTTTAAATTTTTAATTTCCTCTTTAAAATTTACTGCTTGTTCGTATTTAATAATTGTTTTTTGAGAATTTTCTAATTCTGATGGTGTTAAAGGTTCATCAGACATATAATCTTCGATAATAACTTTGGAGGGTTTTTGATTTTTACGATGATTTTTATTTGCAATTATATTTTTTAAATTTTGAATGAATCGTAACATAAATGCTACTATTCTTCTTAGCTTATCTATGTCTGAATAATTGTTAAAAAATGAATTTTCGATTGGTTCAACAGTCTGAGTAAAAACATTAACCTTTTCTTCAGGTAATGGGCTTATAATAGTAATTTTATATGAATTGTGACAAAATTTAGGATCTGATAGATTTTCTGAACCAAAAAACCAAGCTCGCAAGCCGTAAGTTACTGTCTGAAGTTGCAAGCATTTGATTTCCTCATCTGGAGCAGCTCTCCAAAGAATATTTTGAAGGCCACGATGTTCAGGGGCAACTGAAACCATTCTGAACATCTGTTTTACATCTGACAAAATAACATATTTAAAAGTTCTGAACCTTATTAGTATTTCAAAAAGTTCACTCTGTACTACTGCACCGTTATAAAGAAATTCATTCACACATTTTTTGGTTTTGGAGTTCATACTACCGTCAAATACAACGCGTAGTTTAGTTGTTCTTTTATCTTCTCTGATCACTGGTTGATGACCCATGAAATAGACAGAACCTCCATTTAAATCATAATTACTAATATTAAAAATAATAGCATGTTTTGATTCCAAATATTCATTAATAAATTCACAATATTTTTTGTGTAGTTCAGGATTATTTTTGAATCGTTTTTCGAGGTTTTCGAATCGTTTCAAAGCTACCGAGAAAGAATCTCCTAGATTTAAATCCTCAATATTTCTTTTCAAAGGTAAGTACACTTCAAATTTATTATTTATTTTGGACACAGTATTTTTAAAAAATGTTTTCGCAAGCTTCTTGCTCACTAGAATACTCTTTATATACTAAAGGTACTTTTTCTGTTTCCCAAAATTTTGAAATTAATTCTTCCATTTTAGGTTCGTTATCAACAATACAATGAAATGAAGCTACAGCTAAACTGGACTGGGTATTTTTCGAGTTGCTAGG